GGAGAATGACTGTGTGCGGCTCAAATTGAACAAGTATTTAGAATTAAGGATTTTCAACCCCGTTTTATTCAAATGGGAGGCTGGGCCTAGGTGTACGCCTTGTGAGCGTGTTTGTGCTCCAATGCATCCCGTGCATAAGTCTTGTTCGTGTATATGCCCCCCTTGCGGGCTTGGGGAGGAAGACCTTATGCCCCGCCCCGGGGAGCGGTCCGAGCGCGTTGCAAAAATGTTTTTGAAGACAAAGATAGTGGTTGGGTGGTTGTGGTGTATGTGTTGGTGGTATGGTGGGTGAGATGGTGAATGGTGTGTCGTGTGTGTGGGGTGGTGGTAGAGGTGATGTGTAGGTGGTGTGGTATGGCAGGGTAGTGGTGATGCTATTGTGACATTCTCATTTTTCTTTGTGCTGTGTTAAATATTTTTTATAGCAAATGTTGTTTAGTTTTTTTTCATGCTATTATACACGATGGCTAAAACCGAAGAGGTTGGTTCATCTGCAATGTGGGCTAAGGATACTAAAATGATATCTGAGACCTATGCTTCAAGAAGGTCGAGAAGAGAAATAGGTCGTCAACATATTTCAACAAGGAGGGATGACAATATCATAAAAAAATTTAAGTATATGTGGAGAGTACGATAAGATGTAGTTGATAAACAAGTGAGATCAGTTAAAAAACGATTGAAAAATCTGGAAGAAATTGAAGCAAGAAACCACGGGCTTGGGTTGAGATCCGATAAAGAGAACAATTGACGTTTTCAAGGAGTAGTGGGTTGAGGGACTGACGGTGAGCATTTTTTTAAATGTCCACTATTTTTGTTTATTTTTTAAATTTTTTTCAAGTCCATCAACATGTCAATTGAATTTGTAGGTGGTGTTAGTCGCTAAAAAATTTAAATACAGTAGCATCGATCCTGAACCGGAAGAGAAATTAGATCATATATTTAGTAGTGTTGTTGACATGGGCAACAATGCATGTGCCCCTAGTGCGGCGAGGTTTGGTGACACCCCTGCAAATTTGACAGCTGAATAAACAGGTGATTCTAACGAAGGCCTTAGCCTGAACCGCAATGGGGTCAAATCCAGTAGCCAATCAAAGCTGCCCAAGGTTGAGAAGAAGAAAAAGAAGGGAGTTGCTTTCATTAAAAGGCAGGTATCGCAGTTGGTGGTTTCATGCACCAAAGTCTCTGTCCCACCACAAACAACATTTGTCTAGCAGGTTATGCGAATTGTGGAAACAACTCCAAAAATTTACGAGAATATGCCGTTGTATTTGTTCTCTATGAAGTTACTTGAAGATCTAAATTGGAGAGATTTTTTCATGACGATGGTCGCTAACCATAGTGTGGATTACCTGCGTCATTTTCATGAGACCAATAAGGCATGAGGGACAATTTTTTTTTGCTAGATATTGTGAGAAATTTCATATTTGTTATCTGTTTATTTACTTTGGACATTGTGCTTTAGACATTTATGTTGCTTTTGAAATATTATTTTACCTGAGAGTTTTTTATTCTTCGTTATGTTTTGAATTTACTTCAATAATGTTATTTTGATGTTGGTTTTGTTTATATTGCTATATGATTATTGATAATTTGTTGATGTTTATGTGTTAACTTTGACAATGAAATACATGGATGTTAATAGAGAAAAGTGTAGAAAGAGAGTTGTAGCTATAGTGTATTTGATGTACGAGTATTTTAACTCGTATATAGAACACTCCCTTTGCATTTCATCCTTCTATGTTGGCGACAAATGGTTTAGGAGGCTGTTTGCGCGCCACTTAACGAGGTTTAACAATATGTTATGCATGACACAGATGGTATTCATTGATCTGTTGGAGAAACTTCACAGAAATCATGGACTTAATGCTCCACCAGGACGACTTCTCTCTACATAATGTCGCAGAATGAATTAATGCTACTTCGGACTTTAGTGTTCCATACTCTTTTCGTGTCAACTACATAACTACGAGAGACAGTTTTACAGGTATTCAAGGAGAATCACAGAAAGTTGCGACTATTTTCGATGGACAGATAGACTGGAAGATTCCACCGCCAAGGTTGTTCAGACGTGGAGAGTATCATTGGAGGACGGTTTATCTCATGAAATTGGTCGTTTACATTTTAAAAATATTGTTATCATATTATTAATTGTTATTTTAGTAATTATTTTCTTAATTTTGGTAGTCATGTTACTCACTGTTTAATGAGGTGTTTTCTTTGTTTTGTAATCTTCTGCACTGAATATTTTCTCTCAAGTATGGAATGTACTGGTATGAACGGTTCTGTTGCAAACAACATTACTATGCACAGACAAAATTGTTTTTTGGTCATAAACAGGTGCAACACACCCGTTTTCAAACAACAAAAAACAAACGGACAACAAGCTTATCTGCAACAATTTCCTGTGACAGCTGCTACGCAACAACTTGTTATTAAGTTGCATCTACCTTAAATAGACCCTGAATGAATTATTGCTTGATAGTTCATGATGATGTGGTTGGTGACACATTCAATTACAGTGCAAATGACTAATAGTTTTGCATGTGACCATAGCTTTTATTTCTTCGCTATAACTAGTCATGTCAAATGGTCTATGAAAGGCATGAATATCATCGGTATAGATCCTATGATGGTTTTACATATGATTTTATCCTCCATTTCAATTCAAAATCACCTTTTCGTGATGATATTTTGAAGTAAGGCTCCTCGGGGCGGGAGGCTGAATCGGCTGTACTTAACCAAACCAGTTCAACCAAGAGAAGGGAAGGGCCAGTTGGCCCATATATTTGGGTTAGGGTTGCCGCCCAAGAGGAGGAGCCTCCCCCTCATCGCTATCAACTATATATATGTTATGTTATTGTCATTAGAGTTCAGTTTTTGCTTTAAGAATTCTGTTAGGATAACCTCCAACATCTCCTTCTCCATTTTAGGGTTGTATCTGATGGCGAGAAGGTGTCTAGCTGTAACTCGTCCAGAGATGGCGCGTACCTTTTTCCCTTCCTTTTTACCTACTCGCTGCCACCTTCCCCACACCTCAACCCAACTATTTCCCCTGCCATCAGCCGTAAACCCCACCTCCTATTATCATAATTCATCTCCTCGCCTTCTCGTTGTTGTTATATACCCATCCCACAGCACATGCTATTGTCGCCAATCCCAATCCCTCTCACCTATTGTTGCCTCATCTCATTCCACGTCTCCAACTGCCCTCCCAGCCCCTCAAACCTATCCAGGGTTGTTGCCAACCCATCCAAGTTCCCTAACCGCCGCCGCAACCTTTCCCCTGCCTTCCACTTGATGCCAAAACCGTCTTCCAACCACTTTGCTGTCACCACCACCTCCTGCAAGCATATGCACATGCTTGCCAGCCACCACTCACCCCGTCACCGTAACCCTAGGGTGTCTTTTTTTGTTTGTTATCATTTATTTGTTGTTTTGAAGAATCATCCTTGTAACCTATTTTAATTTCAACAATAATACTTTCGTTCCTATTGTGATTAGGGTTAACTCCGGTATCATATTTTCTAAAACCTCAATGGTCCTGAAATTTGTTTCAATTCAAAAAATTCAACCAATAGAAATCTAATCTTCATGATAAATTAAGGTATGTAGATTTTTATTTTTATTTTTATTTAGATTTTGCAATTGAACTTTATGATGATGATTGATCACCTGTGATAAAGCATCTTACCTATTCTAATCCCGAGGTTGTCTCCGAGATTATTCTTGTGCCAAGATCTAAGATATTGTCCGAGTTTATTGATGATATGGAAATGGGGATTTATTTTATTTCAGCATCAATATATCGGAGCAGTTCAATCTACAAATTCCAATAATCCTGCAAGATTCTAGTCCAAAATATAAATGATTCTATATGTTTTAAAGCTATTGTTTACTTCTTCACAAAAAACATAAAAGTTGATGTTGCGACTTCTGCCACGTGAATATGTCGATAGGATCCTTTATGGAATTTTTTTTGGGAAAGTTGTATGATGCTTTGAGATGATTGGATCAGGAGCCTCCTTTCTATTTTTAATTCTTAGTTTGTACATATTGAAGATTTGAGAGATTTTATAAAATAGTTGCTCCGCCTCTTCCATGGACACAAGGCTTCCAAGTAAAGGGCCTCTATGGTACTCTTCCAAGTAAAGAGGAGTCTATCTGGCCCTTGCCATGAGAATATTATTCTACAATATTTTAATTATTTTATAATTTTAAGGATTTATTTTAATTTTATTATGTTATTTTCCTCCAGTTTGCTTAAATTATCCTTTTGGATAATCTTAGGTTTAATTTTGAATTATTTAGTAGTTGATTGAGTTTTTGATGGTGGATGATTTGATTATTTTGTTCTATCTTGTTATTCTGCTTTGTGTAGATAATAGTTAATGGCTTGTAACGGGTTCATTAATTGATGAATTGAAATTAATGCTTATTCTTCTATTCTCTCTTCGCTCTCTCTTTTTACTAATGAACTCCAATTTCTCTCTCCCCTTCTTTCCACTATGCATATCTATGTATCAAGGGAGAGGTTCATATGCAAGAGTGGCCGTTTTCCTCGGTTTGTATCCGGGTAACAATTGAGGCATCCTAACCTTTTCTCTAGGGCTGGCCCTTTAAAAAATAGGGCTTTTGTTGAGGAAAAAGACGATGGGTAACTCCTAAAATTGAAAAGATGGAAACCTTGCCTGAAATTATTCATTTGTACTAGTAAAAAAGAAATGACAATTCATGAAGCCATGTACTTTTGACAACATATATGTTTGGTTTTTTAATATTGATTACCATTGTTGCTTTGTTTTTGGGCTAAAAATGTGGTTTTATGCTTGAAGTGAAAATTGTCTTTTGCTACGTCACACACTTTCTTTTCTTTTATACGTTGCTCTTCTTTTTATCTTCCTTCTTGTCCATGATTTCTTTTCTTAGAATTGCTTGACTTTATTATGTATTAATTATGCGCATTTATGTTATTTAGAATGTTTGTTGGTGATAACACATAGGTCAAGAAATTTGATGCATCTGATTCTTATGATGAAATGGTTCTTGAAATGGAGGAAATTTTACTTGACTCGAGGAATAGCCATGGATCCATGTACCTACAAACTAATCAAGGCTATGTAAGCCAGCAGCCACGTCATTTTGGGGACGGGAGTTCTTTTGTTTCGACTGCTGCCATGGATTACATAAATCCACCTGTCCAAGTCTCGTCAAAAATTGATCGAGTGGAGTTAGTTGGGGCAAAACAGCAGAAGGGAGATGTTTCTTTGGGAGAGAGATTAATTGGTGTCCGGGAGTATACAATATATCAAATGAAAGTTTGGAGTGGTACGGATGAATGGAATGTTGAACGTCGCTACCGTGATTTCGTTGCTCTTTACCGCCAATTGAAGACTCTTTTTATTGGTCATGGTCTGAGTCTTCCTTCTGCATGGTCTAGAGTTGAGCAGGACTCTAGGAAATTTTTTGGTAATGCTTCTCCAAATGTTGTTTTGGAGAGAAGTATTCTTATCGAAGATTGTCTGCGTTCCACCCTTAACTCTAGATTTCCCTTTGGAACTCCTAGCCCATTGATTATGTTTTTGACTCCAGGAAAAGCAATGTTCAAATCTGGCCTGTTTCAATCTCTTGTTCCTCAATATCTGCAGAAGTTTGCTGAAGATGAAAATCCAGATTGTGGTGAGCCGCATCCAGAAGATGCTTCTCTGTTAGGGAAGACCATATCCCTTGTAGTTGAGATAAAACCTCAGAAGTCTTTAAGACAGTTGCTGGAAATACAACACTATACTTGTGCAGGGTGTCACAGACACCTTGACATTGGAAAGACCCTCTTTCGGGAACTTGTACAGACTTTTGGGTGGAACAGGCCCCGGTTTTGTGAGTATACTGGGCAGCTATTTTGTGCTTCATGCCATACAAATGACACTAGTGTTTTGCCAGCAAGAGTACTGCATCTCTGGGATTTTACCTTACATCCAGTATCTCAGTTGGCTAAAGCATATCTTGAATCCATCTATGACCAGGTAATATGATTTTTATCATTTTTTTAATGATTAAATTTTTTTTTTTTTTTTTGGTTTCTTCTTGATTGTATTTTTTGTTTCTTCTTGATTGTATTGCATGCTTAATATCAGGCAGCCTATCGTTATTTCTTAAAAACTAGTTGTTGAACTATAGTTGTGTTAAGATTTTTTTAGTAACTATAATCATTATTTGGCTTATACACTAGTCACAAAACTACTTTTATGTATTATTTTGATTTTACCAATTCATATACGTTAAATATTACATTTTCATTTTGATTTTATGGAAGATTGTAAGCATTTTCCTGATGTAGAATATGGCTCCGGATAAACATCTGAAACTTATTAAATAATATTTCCTTTTCAGCCTATGCTCTGTGTGAGTGCAGTCAATCCCTTTCTATTTTCCAAAGTTCCTGCTTTACTACATGTCATGGTTTTCAGAAAGAAAATAGGTGCTATGCTTCCGTCTGTCAACTGTCCATTCAGAAGTTCTATTCAAAAAAGCCTTGGATTTCGTAGGTATCTTCTTGAAAGCAATGACTTTTTTGCTCTTCGAGACCTTGTAGATCTATCAAAAGGGCCATTTGCAGGTATTTTTAGCTATATGATCTTTGTACAAGTGCTATTTACTACTATTTTAATTAAGCTGTGCTCAAATCTCATAAAGCCACGCCCCAGCAAAGTTTTAGCAAGCTCTAGCGTTGAATGAAAAATAGGAATATCAAACTACTAATGAATGGGAACTGTATCTCTGTCATACGGTCCATGTAGAATATTCTAGAGAATTTCATTACCAAATGTGTCGCCGTTTTGTAAAAAATGTGGCAATGTTTTTGCTTGCAGGGCTGTAATCCTAATGTACAAATGAGATGCTTTTCATTGCTGCCTAGCATGAACACAAAGCTCTTAAGTGCTAAAACAAGTCGATGCTAATTTTGATCATGTCTAATAACTAATATGCCTTGACTCTGTAAACATGTTATGTAGCTCTACATAGTTTTTTCTCCCTTTTTTTTTCATTTTGCTCTGAATGAAAAGCTGGAATGAAACCATCTCATTAAGTCAACAAAATAATTTACAATGAAGAAACAAAATATAGGTGAAAAATAAACAGAAAATAAAACTGAAGGTAGGTGAACAGATTTAATAAGCAAGAAGAGTTATCTTGTAGTGTTTGGCTACTTTAGTGATAATAGATTTGAAATAGGCCATTTGATCAGCTTTATTTAGTCATGAGATAATTTTATCTCGATTCTTATATTTTGATCTTTCATAAGTTTCTTCCTTTGGTTTTTTTTTTAATGGTAATGTGTAATTTATCAGTTTTTTTTTTAAATGGTGCTTTTGAGTCCCTTTTTAGAATACATTGAACCATCATGTTTTTAAATTAATTTCTAAGATGTTAATGATATCAATGCCCTCAAGGAAAATTGTAATTTATTTCTTTGCAGGCCTTGTAGTTTGGTTTTCTCTTTTTTTTTCCCTAGGGGTAGCTATATAACACTTGAAACTTTGATATTTACAATTATAACACTCTTTTTTAAAACTCTGATCCAAATACCAAAATTCATAATAAAATTCCAACCCGTATTTTTCATTTTTTATTGAATTCCCAATAATTTGATTGTAGAATGCATAAATGCATGAGTTTAGCAGTTCAAAAAATGTAATGATTGGTTATTTTGTAAACACCTAAGTTTTGAATGATATGTATGTAATTATCCCTTTTTCTGTTTGTGGAAAAATTTACTCGTGTGTGTGTTCTTTTCTTTTCTTTTTTTTTTTTTTTTTTTTTTTGTAAAAAAGGTTATGCTTGGATTTTTTTCTATGAAGAAATACAGGCTAAAGATCTTTAGGGTGCGTTAAGCAGTGGTCTGAAAGCATGCCAAATTGGAAATCATTTAGATTAAACTAATTATTATATTTAAATTTTAATAAATATAATATATCAAATATTGAATAAGTCATTTTTTATTTGTAATTGAGTAATTTGGTTGTAAAATAATAGAATCATTTTTTTTGCCATAAATCTAATATCAGATTCAAATCTATTATGTGCTTCGACTACTATAAAAAGCGTGTTACTTGATCCTTAGCAGACATAGGATGTTTGCTACATCATCAAAGGTAAGCCTCAATAAAGGTTTGACAAGCTTTGGTAATGTATTCAATTAGGTATTAGAGACTTAGGGCTTCAAGCACTTTGTTGAGGTGAGCTACCACACAAGTTCCTTTAATCTTTCCTGAAAAAGCATGCCGCAAAGGCAAGTACCAGTCTATTCTTGTTAGAGATTCAGGTAAACACCAAGTAGCCTCAATTGAGTGTCTTTTTAATTTTTCTTAGCTTTGGAATATAACACCAAGCTCTTTGTTTTTTCCCATCTTTCTGCACTTATAATGTGCATTATCCTCTGGAAAGTACATTATCATAGAGTTATTTTTTTGACTTTGCTCCTCTTTTTCTTTTTTCTTATTCTTTTCAAAATGAGACTACTAAGTACCATTTTCTCACTTTTCTTCATTAGGCTCTTATTTCATGCTAGTTTTGAAATCGAAATATGATGGCCTTTACTTTTTCCTCTTCCCACTTTCACTACTTTTTTTTTGGCATGACTTTTGTACAATTTTGTAATTTTATGATAAATAGTTTTTTTTAATGATTTAGGATTGTAGCTTTATATTAATTCTGTCATATAATTCAATCAAATCGGTATAACTTGTACATATGAATTAACAATTTTATTTTTGAATCTAACTAAAAATGTGATGGATAAGAGGCTCTGCTTAATGGGATGTTATTTTGACAGTTCTTTTTCTTATGAATACAATTGGGAGAACTTGGTTCTAGCTCTTGACAATCCCGAGTCTGTATAGTGTTATTTACATTCTCAACAGTCCTTTTTCTGATGTATATATGCAATTCTTAATCATTAATGTCATGTTGAGGTGGAGTAGAGATAATTGGGATTGTTGTTGTGACAGAGTTTGTTTCTTCAAATGGAGCTGGTTGAGGCGGAGTATGGACAAGCAAAGCTGATTGAGGGACATGATCCAGTTCAATTAAAGGAAAAATGATTGGAGTATCTTAGAAAAAATTTCAAATCTGATATTACTTGAGTGTAGCACCTGAATTTTAGATTTGGAAAAATAAGATTGATTTTCAAAGAATGTGACATCCATCAAGATGTATATTTTCCTAGTGGTGTAGAAAAATATTTGTAACCTTTTTAATTTGATGAGTAATTTAGGAAAATGTATCTTAGAAACTTGGGAGTAGTTTAGATTAAATTTTGTGCAGTGTTGTTGATGAATGTGAACAAAAGCAAAACAATAAAAAACCTTTAACGATAAGTCAGAAGAAACGAACGGATGTGTGGATAAGATTCCATGAGAACATTACGGGGAATTTAAAATTGTAGGACTCGACTAGGCATCCTATTTATGAGGTACGTGGCTGTGAAAATGATTTCCCCCAAAAAATGTTTAGGCACTTGATTAAATAATATAATGACGCGGGTCACCTCAAGTGTATTTTTGCTTCCCACGATCCCATTTTGTTAAGTATTCACAAAAGAACTTATATGGACAAAACCATACTTGGAAAGATAAGTACTAATGATAGAATTAAAGTATTCCTTAGCATTATTAGTTTTAAGATTTTAATTTTTGTTTTGGAATTTATTAAAAATCATAGAATGAAAGGATTGAAATATGGTGTTTGTTTTATATTTTTCTTTCATAAAGAATATCCATGTTGTTATTGTGTGATCAATTATGAATGATACGAATCATCGTGCCCCATTTAGATTGTATACTTATGAGGATCCCCATATGTCACTTTGAATTACGGAAAAAGGATGTGAAGGCTACTGATACCGGATTTAACCCAAACCACAATATAAAAAACAAATAGGTGGTTACAATCAAATGCATTTGAAAGAAAATTTACAACATACACGACACGAACTCACACTAGGGCTCAATCTATGGGTGGTGGAGGTTGGCTAGGTGATCTAGGAGCGGAGGTGTGTGGCCGACATGGGTTGTGGGTGGTTTGGACATCAAAAGGAGGGGCTTGAATTGCGTTGGCAAAGAGGAGGGTGGCTACAATGAGGGGCAGCAAAGGGGAAGGGTCGTGGACTTTTGATGCGGGGGTAGCAAGCAAGGGCTGCAGGGACAGTGGAATAGGTTGCATTCCAAGCGGCGACGAGCGGGAGGCCGGAACGAAAGAACAACAACTTAGATGGTAGTTGTGGGCGGCGGCAGTCGAGGAAATATGCAGGAAGCTAGACAGGAAGGTTCAGGACAGGTGTAGGCCTGCTGTGTTGGCCGACAACAAGCTTGGGAAGGGAGGGAGGTGGCTACAATTGGTGGAACTGCAGGAAACAACAACAAAAAAATGCTATTCTGGTCGTTGTAGAAGGGAAGGGCGCAAAAGGGATTGATACAGGAATGTTGCGAAAGGTTAGGGGAAGGATAATCGCTACCTTGGGAGAGATACAACCGATGCACTACTCAATTTCTCAGATACAAGCCTTGAAGACAGTTGTCCTAAACAAACTTACGTCAAAAACTAAGAATCCAAACCCTAATACAACACATATATAGGAAAGGAGTAGAAAGGAATGATTAAAAGAAATATGTCGAAAATTAGGAAGAAATTAGAAGGGGAGTCGTTTGGTTCGATTTGACACTGTTCATGTGACCATTCTATTGTGCACTGTAGTAATATTGCGGATTGGGGGTTGCAACGTTAGTCTCTCGTGGTTTTGAGAGCTTCGACCTCTTCAGTCAAAACTTGTCTCCTCATAGTAGTCTGTTCGACCTTGTCGAGAGCAACATTATTGTAAACTCTCGTTAAGTCAATCATATAGGTGTTTTCATTCCAAAGGACATCTTGATATAATATATATTCATCCACTTTTGGCATAACTTGAGCTTAAATTGCATAACGACATATATTCTCAACTCATCCCAAACAAGTAATTTATAATTTACTTCTCTCACTCACACCCAGCTAAATGAATTTGGTAAACAAATATGTCAAGAAGAATCAACTCAGGCATGAAATCTATAGCACGCTAACTCAAGAGAAACCTCTTCTTCTTCTCAAAAAGAACTGGATCCAACTGTAGGATGTTCTGACTCACCAAGCTCCTAATGCGATTTCTAACGTTGTGGTTTATTCCTTCGGTCTAGCCATCTATTGATGGTTGCATTGTTGAAATGAATTTAGTATCCAATTGATTCCATATGGTCTTGCAAAAGCTTCTCAAAAACATCACTTTTCTAACCAGTTGGACCTTCCTCAGACTGAGCAACTCAGAAAGTAGACTATTTATCTGAAAAAGTGAAATTCTTCTATTTGAGGTCGTTGTGTGTGTTGTGTTGGTTCTTCGTACTTGGACCATCATGGACCACTAATGTCAATTTTGTTGTAGTCTCTCCCATGGACTCGGCTTGAGTGTGTTTTTCTACCTCATCAGTTGGAACCTGATACTACTTTGTCTTCTCACTTTTTTCAGTGTCTACGACACATTGTCCATTTATTTAATTGTCCCTGATCTGTCAAAAAGATCATTCTCCTAGTTGTGCAATCTGATTTTATATTCCCAAATTCGTGGCACTTGAAACACTTTCTAGTCGGGACAAATTTAAAAATATTGGTTTGTTCCATTTGTTCTCTATTTTGAATTAGTTTCTTCTCATGCAAGATTTGCTTGGATGTACCCCTTGGTGTACTCTGCCTGTAAGATGTGGTCTCTCCATTTTTGAAATTGGGGTATGAACTTCTAGTCATAGTAAACTGATAGGTACTGGCGCTGCATATCTAGTTTCATCTTGGGTCATATAGTAACTTTTCTTCCCTTCTCATTGTTGAAGCATCTTCAAATTCGTCCTCCACTGAGATGTACTCTTCATTAACTTATTGGAGGCCAGTTTCACAATTTCGTCAGTTGAGACGTCCTTGAACTTAAAGACACATTCTAAGGTTTAGAGTCACTCGATGACCTCGTTTGGGTCCATATGATCGTCAAAATATGATAAATCCACCTGAACTTCAAAATTATGGCTTCTCAGTTTCTGATCAAATCTTCAAAGTAGAGGTTCTCCATTCTTAGAATCCTTATGACGGAAGAGATTTACTCCATTCCTGTGATCTAGTAAGTTACCGTTGTGGCTATGGACTCGTCTGAATGGCCGTCTTTTTTTATTTTATTGAGTTGTTTAAGCAATCAATGGAACTGTCACTGCAACTCTTTCATAGTAAATTTATGATTGACATCTGACACTTATCTCTTCAGTGGCATGATTAGTATTTGTGTGTGGGTAAGGTGGAAAAGGGGTGTAATAGTGATGTAGGGTGGGAAAGAAAATTTTTTTGGGTGTAGATATGAGGGATGTAGAAGCCCTAATATAGTATTAGGGTTAGACTAGCTCTGATACCAAATGTTATCTTAGTTAACCCAAACAACAATAGGAAAAATAAATATTATTACTGAAAGCAAATATGTGGTTACGATCAAACACACTTGAAAGAGAAATTACAATAGACACGACACAAACTCACACTAGGGCTCAATCCATGGGTGTTGGTGGTTAGCTAGGTGTTAGAGGAGCAGAGGCAGGTGGCTGAAATGAGTTGTGAGTGGGTGGGACAGCAAAAGGAAGGGCTGGAATTGTGTTGTCAGCAAGGCGGAGGGCTGGGAGAATGATGGGTAGCAGTGGACTGTAGGATAGCAAGATAAGTTTTGTTCGGTATGGGGGCAGCAAGTTGGGACTGCAGAGACAACAAAATGAGTTGCAGTCCAGGCAACAGCGTAGTCGGAAGGGAGGCTGGAACGGCAGAACAACAAATGGGACAATAGTTTTGGGCGGTTGTAGCGAAGTAAGTAGTCAGGAAGCAAAATGGGGAGATTGGGGACGGTGGAGGCCGACTATGTTGGGTGGAAGCCAACCTGGGAAGAGAGGGAGGTGGCTAGAATTGGTGGAATTGCAGGAAATAACATCAAAACACTATTATTTCGGCGGCTACAACAGGGAAGGGATGATGGGGATCGATTCACGAATGTTGCGGAAGGTTAGGGGATGGATCAACACATCATGTTGGAGAACCACCAATCCCTCAAATACAAGTCCTCGAAGGGAGAAAACAAATAGCAGCGACTGTCCTAAACAAACTTAAGCCAAAAATTGAGAATTCTAATCGTAGTACAACTCATATATAGGGAAGGACTAGAAAGGAATGAACGATTAAAGGAAATTTGTTGAAAATTGGAAAGAAATCAAAAGGGAAGCCGCTCAGTTCAATTCGACACTGTTCTTGTGATCCGTCTCCCTTGAACTGCAGCAACACCAATGTTACGTTGAGAGGGGGGGGGAGGCGGGTAAATTGCCAAATGACATTGCCTAATGATGAAACTTTTTTCTTTGAGCAAGCACAAACCACCATGCATCGTAACACTGCAATCCCCTTTTCCGAGTCCACAACCTAAAAATCACAACAATTGTAATAAAACTTAGTTACAAATTTTAGGTCACGAGCAAGTTTGTTGATTGAGAGTAGTAGCAATTTAATTTTAGAATATAAAACACATAGTAGATATGAAGATTCATTGTCAATTCAGTTGATCCAGTTCCTGTTTGGTGAAAATGAACCATCAACTATTCAGAATAAAGAATAACCGATACATGGGTTGTAATTTTTATTGATGTTGATGATTGCGGTTATATGAATCAACTATCTAAGGTTTTAATTTATTGTTCTGAATGCTAAAAGCATGGGATAAGATACCTTGGTGTGCTAACAGGCTAATAGGTTGTTCGACAGAGGATTGTGATGTTTGTCTAGAACTAGAACCATTACTAAACCTTTTTTGCAGCTCCACAATTTGCTCATTGGTGAACGGGCTGAATTCTGAATTGTTATTGGAATACATGATAGGGACTGAATGTGGGCTCAGATCTGGATGTGACTTCCTGGAAAGAAGATTGTGAGGTCATGTTGTGTTTGGCTATGATAAGATTGTGAAGCCTGACTCGAGCAGACTTGTTGCATGGATAAAAGCGGAGGACCCTTAGTTTGGCTGCTTGACTTGACCGGAGAACAAGAACTAGAGGGAGATGGACAACTCTTGATTACCACGCATTCAACAATAAAAACCAAAGATAGTCGGGTCGTTCGTAAGTGCTGACTTGTGAGAGGATGACTGACGTCATGAATCGTGTTCGACTCGGCGGAGAGTTTGAGATCTCTGTATCAGTGTGCCCTCGGTGGATCGATCTCCGGGAGTTAGGGTTTTATGTTCCTTAAAAAAAGGCTTTGAACAGCAACAAATTATTGTTTTCTGCGCAACTTCAGTGAACCACAGTGACCTGAAGCTCGAATTGTTCGAACGAAGCGTCGAACGGAAGAGACGGGCATAAAGGAGTTTTATGTTCCAGCGGAATATTCATGGGACGGGTCTGTGAGGATTTGACGATGTCTTCGAGCGGAAGATGCAGGCCACAACTGCAAGAGACAATATTTCCCCTTTGGGCCACAACTATAAGGATTGACCGCAGCTATAAGGCCTTCGATAGCTTCAGGAGCAGAGGCGGGTAAGTCTAACGCAATGCATGCAAGCAGACACGGTAGCAGAGTCCTCGAGAGGCCTCCTATAGCATGGTCGATGCAGACAATTCGCTTCGTTGTATGCACGTTGGAAGAAGTGTTCCACTGCTACTCGTGCTTACATGAGAGGCAAAGCCATCATTCGAATTAAAGATTTTACTGTGCATGCATATGAGATAGATGCACATTAGCTCTGATACAATGTAAAAATCTGGAAAAATATTTATTTCTCGCTATAATCCATACACACACACACACATTGAAAGGAGACAAAATAGGAATACTTCCAAAATAAGAAAAATAGAAAAAAAAATTCCTTCCTAATGTGGATTGGCACTTTCCAATACTCATCATGAATCATTTTTTATATAAATGGTGTTATATGGATAGTGCAAAATGTTTAAATATAATTTCTTTCTATTTAATCCCAATAAACTTTAAATCTAAATTACTTCTAGTCTAATTGAAGATAGACAATTCGCTCCCTTGTCTGCATGCTGGAAGAAGTGTTCCACTTCTACCGGTGCTTACATGAGAGACAAAGGCATCATTTGAATTAGAGTTTATACTGCGCATTCGTATGAGAGATATGAGCCTTAGCTCTGTTTCAATGTAGAAATCTGGAAAAATCATCATTTCTCGCTATAATCCATACATTTCACTTTGCCCTGGCCCCAACACCAACACACACACACAGATATGCATATATATACACACTGAAAGGAGACAAAATAGGAATACTTCCAAAATAAGAAAAATATAAAAAATATAATTCCTTCCTAATGTGGATTGACACTTTCTAATACTCATCATGAATCCCTTTTTATATAAATGGTGTTATATGGATAGTGCAAAATGTTTAAATATATTTTTATTCTATCCAATCCCAATAACCTTTAAATTTAAATAAGTTCTAATCTAAATGAAGATAATACCTAGTAAAATAATTTAAATTTAAAAAGATTAAAGGAACTCATCCATAAACACAATTAAGCCTAAAAAAGCTTCAAAATGAGCCCAGTTCAGATTCGACTTGTGGTAATTGGCCTATAGCTACCTGAATTTTTGTAAATTATTTTTTTGTTGTTTGAGGGGAGCTTATTGAATCATTCTTTATACTTGCATTATGTTTGAAAGAGTGCCTTTGTTTTGTTTTTAGCTCGTTGGAATAGCTTCTCCCATCAATAGGAACTGGCTCATGTCAATCCGTTGTCTCTAGTGGATGAGAAACTTAAACTGTTGTTTCTGTAGGATGAATGTTTCGTTCATTTAAAAATATAGAACTTGAAATTGAAAAACTAAACTTTCTTGCTGCTTTGCTCAACTTTAATTTTCTCTCCAATGGCAGCACTTCCTATAATGGTGGAGAACATTTCAAATCTAATTCTTGAGCACATCACACAACAATGCCTTGTATGCTATGATTCCGGTGTTCCTTGTGCTGCCCGACAAGCATGTTATGATCCCTCTTCTTTGATATTTCCCTTTCAGGTTAGTATATGGCAATCTTGAATTTACTGGTGAATTTGTTTTTACATTGGGAGACTATTGAAAAATATGTCCTTAGTTTTAAAATATGGAACGGTCCTTCTGATATCCAGCATCTAAGCTATACTTTTGCTCTTTCCAGTTTTAGCAAGCCTAACGGTTTATATTGTTATTTCTGTGATCTCATACCTCTGATATAATGCGTGCCTATTCAATATGACACAATTTGAACTGGCAAGCATAGTCCCCGCACTGAATTTTTTAAAGGAATGCACAGATTGATCTTGCTTTAATTTATTTTCTTCCATACTTGAATTCGATTTTACTGAACAAAGTAATTTTTTTTTGGCATGCAGCACTGTTACCCTATTGCCTTTAACTTAGCTTGCACTAATCACCAACCGCTGAATGTTAAAGATGGCTGCATGTACTCATTTCTGAAGGGATGGAAACGGAGGTGGCGTAGAAGCGAGTTGAATATAATTGAAGAACAGATGCTGAGATGGAGATATGGATTTTCTTATTTACATTCTATAAGGAATATCTAGGAGTTGGTTAAGCCCATGAAGATAAATTTTGAAGCATGATTGATATCGAAGTAACCCCAACAACAGTAGAACGAGAATCTTATTGCCCAAAACTCAAAGAGAATACAATAAGGTTCTTCAAAAACATAAATAAAAAATCAACCCAAAACTGGAGCGAGCCCTAGAATGAGGATGGAGATGGTGAACACCAGCTGGACTGCAAGTGGAGGGAAAGGTTGGGAGGTGGTGGCGGTTAGGGGAGTGTTGGTGGAGCTGACAGTAGCAAAGAGTCTGCTAGGGTGCTAACGGTAGCCTCGGGGAAGAGTGAATGGGGTTTGCGGCGGAAATTAGGGGAAAGGGAGGGGAAAGTGCAACTGAAGAAGTGCGGGAGGAGTTTGCATCAACATGAGGTTTGTTGGAATTATGGGTAAAAACCTCAGGGAAGGATGAGGGCATTGGGATGATGGCATCAAGTTGGGAGAGGTAATAGGCAAACGAATATGTGGAGGTATTCACCACCTTAGAGCAGGATACAACCGAAACACCACCTCTCCTCAGATATATTCTTAGAAGGGAGAAACGCTGATGACAAGAATTCTTAAATCAGGAGCCAAAACTAAACCCTAGATAGGCAAACGATATGTATATATATAATAATAGATAAAATAAGAGGGGCAGGTCCCTCCCCTTCAGGCGTCAAACCAAGCCCTCCCGTTGGACTGGTCGGACGGTTCAGGTTGCGCGTGGCTGAACCGAGTGGTTCAGCCCTTCCTCAGAAGTGGAGCCCCACATTAATCTCTCGGGATTGGGGGAGCTTTAACCTCATTCATCAAATTTTTTGGTTATACATGGTAATGACAGGGTTTTTTGTAATCTCCCAGGGTTGACGGATCTTTGACCGCGGCCCTAGTAGTGCCTAAATCTTACCGACGGCTGCATCGTCCCCCAAAGCACCTGAGGATTTTTATCCACTTGCGAGCAACATCCATCTCGGTACAATCTTTTGGGACTACCCATCATACATATTCTATTGAATTCTTCAAAAGTAACTTGAGGTTGGCTCACCTTGCCTGATGTGAGAATAGTCTGAATCTCTCCGAATGTTGACGACCATGGCGGTAAACTATTGATTATGATGTCTTGAAACACTCTCTCTCGTGACTGACCCATGTTTGGAATCGACGCCTCATTCCTATCATCTTCTATTGTCACCAAAACTGATCCCATCCCACATACGCTGCTTTGCTGGTAAAAGCATCTGTGATCTCAAACTCTGCCGAAGGAAGAAGAATGATGTGCTTCCCCTTCTTGGTGAAAGAGTGAGTGTTTCTGAATCCGTTATATTGAGTCATACGGTCAAATTGTCGCGGTCTCCCCAACATGTGGCAGACATCCTTGGGTACAATGTTGCACCTCACCTAATCCTGCGACTGGCTCTCAATTAAAAACTCTACTAGGCACCTCCTATCAATGTTGACTCTGTTCTCTTTCTTCAACCATTTCAGATAATAGAGCTGAAAATGTCTTCGAGTCATGAGGCCCAATTTCTCCACCATCTGCATAGATGCTACGTTTTTGCTGTTATCTCTATCGATGATAAGACTACATAACTTCTCATTCACAATACAACGGGTGTAGAATATGTTGTGGCGGAGCCACTGCGGAACCCTGCATCCTCAGTTTGTAGGACTCGTCGAACCACGAGCATCTCACCCTCATCCGATGGAAGATGATACAACTCACCCTGTTCCTTAGTTTCCTCGTTGCTAACCTCTTAGTTTCCTCGTCGCTAACCTCCTCCACGACACTTTTCTGACTTGAGGTTGCTCTGTCCTTATCTGAATCAGTTTTCTCAACTCCCTGAACCATGCTCCTACTGGTGTCTCAATTGTGGGTGGCTGCATAACTGGTGGTGGTTGTCTGCTCTGTTTTTGTTGTCTCTCCACCTTTGGGGCTAAGGCATGGACACTCCCAGTGACCAATAAGGCTGCAGCCGCACAAAGTTGTTGTAGGGGTCTTCATGGCCCCAGGCATCTGGCTATGGAATGTTCCTCTAGCTCAATCAATTCACAGTTTATCTGCAACTGGTCAAACTGTGATATGAACTCTTCCACTGATATGTCTCTCTGCTACATGTGGTGTAGTCTTAGAAATATATCACGACGGTAATGAGATGGTAGATATTTACTCTACATTTTTTCCTCATTTTTTCTCACTTGGTAATCTTATCACCCTTCTCTCTTCCTCTGCAAGTTTTCTCACCACAAGGAAACACTCTTTTTCAACTTGATGGTTGTTAGTTTTGCTCGTTTATCCAATGACACTTCCTTATACTAAAAAATTCGCACAATAGATTGTCGCCAGTCGATAAAGTAGTCTGGATGCATAAATCTATTGAATTCCGATAGATCCACTTTAATGTCAAAATTCATGTGTCCTCCATATGTTGTTTCCTCTCTCGGTCTTCTCTGATACTGAAATCCTAAGCGTTGGGACCTGTCTTCCTAAGCGTTGAAGTCGTCTTTATCTAAAAGATTTAGATCCTCATTTCTTTCCATATCATGATCGAGGATAATCTCTATTTGGGTTCCATCATCAATCTCCGCAGGCCTTTGTTGAAGACGACATAGCTCTCACTGTATCTCTTCTCGAGTAGACTCTAGTCTGTATCTCCTTGGTGGCATGGTTAAGGGTTTGGGATTTATGGTATGAAAGAAAATTTTTTGTGGAGGTGGCTTGGTTATGGCGAATGCTAGAAATACTAAGATAGAACTAGGGTTAGACTAGTTTTGATACCAAATGATAACGGAGTAACCCAAAAATAGAAGAATGAGAATCTTATTGCCAAAAACTTAGAGAGTACAATAAGGTTCTTTCAAAGAAGAAATAAGAAAATAACCCAAAACGGGAACGAGCCCAAGGGTGCGGATGCAGATGGTGAACATCGGCAGGACTAAAAGTAGAGGGAAAGGTTCGGAGTTGGCGGATGTTAGGGGAGTTTTGGTGGAGCTGACAGCACCAAGGAGGCTGATGGTATAATGGGCGAAAGATATTAGGTGTAAGGTAGTGGAAAGATGTAACAAAAGAGGTGGAGTTTGCGACAGAGATTACGGGAAAGGGAGTGGAAAGATGCAGCAAGAGAGTTGATGGTATAATGGGCGAAAACCGCAGGGAATGTGAGGGCGTTGAAATGATGGCATCGAGCAGGGAGAGGTAGTAGGCAAACGGATGTGTGGAGGGAGTCACCATCTTGAAGCAGTATACAGTCAGAGCACCACCTGTCATTGGATACAACCATAGAAGGGAGAAACGTTGACAATAAGAATTTTGAAATCAGGAACCAAAACTAAACCCTAGACAGAGAAACAACATATATATAATAGTAGATAAAACAATAGGGGGCCCCTCCCCTTTAGGCAGCAAACCAAGCCCTCGGTCGGCCTAGGTTGCTCATGGTAGAGTCAGCTGGTTCAACCCTTTCTCGGCAGTCAAGCCCCGCGTCAATGATTAATTTACTTTAGCAGAGGATTGGGAGTAGCTTGTTTGCTCGCTTTATTTCTTTTTTTATTTGGAATGGGCATTTACGTACATACCACTCTATACCTATGTATTTACATATGTAAAACCTAGACTTTGCTTTTTTACATTTATGTCACCTAAAATTTTTATATCACTATTTTAACTTTTAAAAAGTGAAATACAACTTTTAATGCATAGATAAGGTGACATATATGTAAAATTTGAAGTTTAGGAGTTAGATATGTTAATACTTAGGAATTGAGTGGTATGTTTGTAAATGTTCCCTTTTTTTGGGGGTAAGGTGATCAAATGTTGTTTAGTACTGCACATGCATGTTTAACACTACAACAGAGCCACTAAGATATTTTCAAAAAAAAAGAGCCACTAAGAGGAGCGACACCTTTCATTTCATTTACATGGTGGAATCTATGGAAATGGTAAGGGATATATTGAAGCTGACTGTAGAATTTAGTTGGGGCGGAAAATTTCTTTTTTTCTTCTTTTCCAAATAGAGCACATATACATAGGGAAACCAAACACTTGTTATTTATGAATTTATCAAATATATCTAACCTAGATTAGGAAAGGAAATAAATTTGAAAATAAAAAATAGAATAACATAAAATAAGAAGGGAGTGCATTATGAAAGATTTCTTAAGCTGTCCCAATCAAATCCTCCGAGCCGGCAAGCCCAGATCAGAGAGGGAAAGAGGGAAACAAGGAAAAGATTTTCACACTCTTCAAGCTTGGTCGTAAATGTTGTAGAGACAAAGTTTGGTATTGAATTATGAGAAGGTGCTTAAAAGAAGAGCTTTGGTGAAGGCATCAACAATTTGTTAGTGTGTCGGGTTATAACTTAGCTTTATAATTCCCCCATTAACCTTTTTAGAGATGAAGTGGCTATCAATTGCAATATGCTTGGTCTTGTCATAATGTTTTTTTTGTTTTGACAATACT